GAAGTAGGTAATTTCATTGATTAAAATAACGATATTTGTTCGATTATTAAAAAGGTCAAATATAATTTGAACTATACCACTTTAACATAAGGAAGTTTCCAGCAACAACAGTAGCAGATATTGTGTCATAGCCATTTCGCGGAAGATCTCAAGATCTTCCGTGATCTTAAGACCACAATATATCTCACCCTTCGCAGCGAAGGTCTGAGTGAAAGTGCATTATATCAGAACCCGTCAGACTGGTCTGAGCGCGCCTTAAGATAAAGCGCGCTAACTGGTGTGCACACATCACTATTTAAACGTAAATCGATGTTTTTGATAGAAGACGATGAAATGAGGAAATCAAATATCATTTTTCATTTCAATATTTAACATAAACATATTATAGTAGTTATTAGTTTTAGAAATCTTCATATGACTATCAAGATGTTAATTTGAATTCTAACGAAAATTCCACGTTTAATGTCAATAACTGAATTTGAACCAGAAAAGTTCAAGCATCACTAACCCCTTTTGGATCAATCGGAATTCGGAATCCTTCTGTAATGTATTTTTCAACAGTCAGGATTAGATTACGTAAGTGACGTGACTGAAATTTTCAAATATTCGGCTAAAAGTTTGGAAGAACATTCTAGTGTTTCTTGTACTTGGTAAAGTCATTATTATGAACTAAGTTATTTGGCTGATCTTATAGCCTAGAGCTAAGCTTTCAGACATAGCACATTGCGTCACAATTGAAGTTAGTTATTGGTAATAACGGTACCTGTATGGAATCTGATTCCCCATTATGGCTGTTACTTAACTGGGACTTGTTACTTCACTATGAGTTCATAATCCTACATCGAGTGCATCATTAATGGAGGTGACATTTCATACTTTGATCGTAATCTACTCGTAGGACTGGCTTAAGAAAATGTAACGCCTGTAGCACTTCACGTCATTATTATGTGAGATTAAAATGCAGATATGAATGAGTTTAGACAAAAATAAGGGATTTGGCAGATACAAATGAAGGATTACTTTCATTTTTAAAATGAACACTTTTAAATCCTAAAGTCTAAAGTCTTTGAAGATTACAAACTTATGCCAAGAACTGTGAAGACGGCACAAGAACAAACTCGTAATAATAAACTTGGAATTTGAATCTTGTTTGTGAGATATTTTTTTAAAGATCGTTGTATCTTAGTTTAGAGATAGTGCAATCGGAAAATGTAAACCTATTTAAACTTTACTTAATAAAATTTTATAAAAAAATAAAACCGACTCCAAAAAACCTACACTAAAACGTAGAAAAATAATTACTAATTACCTACTTATTTATTAGGACGAATTATTAATATTTATGTAGGTATACCATGATTGATACTTCTGGAGTCGGTGCCAAGATTATGAAACATGTAAAGTTTGCCTGCACCGACTCCAAAAGTATCAATCATGGTATACCTACATAAATATTAATAATTCGTCCTAATAAATAAGTAAGTAATTAGTAATTATTTTTCTACGTTTTAGTGTAGGTTTTTTGGAGTCGGTTTTATTTTTTTATAAAATTTTACTTATTTCTTGCTTTTTAGTTAACCAATTATTACCTTGATGTTACCACTGAAGGTAGGCAGTACACTGAGACCAAAAAAAATTGGTTCATAATCGGCGGAGATATTGTGTATAAAAAAGTTCAACCCCAATTTTCCACCCTTGGGTGTGAAATATTTTCTTCAAATTCGCATGAAACCACCCTTTTGATAATACCTATTCAACAAAAAAATAATCGTTCAAATTGGTTTATAATCGGCGGAGATATTGCGTATAAAAAAGTTCATCCCCAATTTTCCACCCTTGGGGGTTGTTTTTTTTATTATTAAATTTAAATGGGACCACCCTTGAGGTATTACCTATACGCCGAAAAAAGATTTGTTCAAATCGGTTCATAATTGACGGAGTTATCGCGTAACAAACATAGAAAAAAAAAAAAAAAAACATACGGGTCGAATTGAGAACCTCCTCCTTTTTTGAAGTCGGTTGAAAATAACTAGTACACGTAGTATTAATGAAAAAATCTAGATTCAAGATGTTGATAAAAATAATGCATATACTGGTCACTGGGGTGTATAGGATTCCCGCTTTTCCAATGAATATTCAAATAAACATAATCTGTATGCACATAGTAACGATTTGAATAATTGCACAGTGAAAATGGAATTTCATCAGCAACACTTTTGCATCAATTTCCATTGAAAGGAATGAGTTATGTCAATTAGCTAATGCCTATCGTCGCTTTATGTAATTTTAAAGCTATATAAGTATATACCTACGTCATTACATACGGTAATATCTATGACGCATGAACAAATGTTATGTGCCTACCGTACAATTATGGTTTTTGTTGAAGTACCTACGAGTATGTATGTTATGATATGTACTTGTGTACCGTACCTACTCGTAACTACATAATTATATTTTGTGATATGTAATTACCTAATCCAAATCGGAGCTTTTAAAGTCGACAATACTTCAGACTATGCGTAAAATAGGACACTGCAAATGCTAGATCAGTGGTTCTCAACCTTCAAAACACGAGGGACCATTTTACCGAATTTCTGTCTTGTTAGGGACCACTTATATATTTTTTTAAATCCTATGAAAGGGGAGGTCGATTTCTCGTCCACTGTGCGCCGTTTGCGTTATGTTGACTCGACTCATCACGTCACTTCACTTGTTTATTACGATGTCTTCGTGGACCACTTGGAATGCATCCAGGGACCACCAGTGGCCGCGGACCACCGGTTAAGAACCACTGTGCTAGACCGACGATCTGGTGAAGATCCGGACCGGACATTAGAATAGAATAGATTATTTGTCTCAATTAAGGAAATTCGTCAGGGAAACTCTTATTCAGAAGTGTTCTTTAGGTTGATGAAACGTAAGAACAGATCCAAATAATTATTTGTTTATCCTGGCGTTTCTTCTCACCAATTGCCATAATGTTTACCTGAAGCGCTGCTAGAACTCAAAAGATAAGGAATGATGTTAAAATGCCTCTAAAACTTCCTTTTTTTGTGCTAAATCCTGATCAAAACTGAATAAAGACATAATTTTTGGGTAAAAAGTACAAGAATACAAATTGAGCGCGTTATCCAACAAATGCTGAAACCTAACCGCGGTTGATTTAACTTTTACAAAGATTCTCACGAATGCAATTTTGATAGTTATTTAGGAAGTGGTTGCATAATGCCGTCTGCAGTGTCGAGTATAGCAAACCTGTGAAAGGAGTGCAACCACACCAATTGGGCACTGATGATACTATCATTTCAGTTATAGGGCTGGCACATTTTTTGGGGTAACAAAAGATAGAGTTAGTTAACTTTAAAATAAAACTGAACAATTAAACAGGTAATAATAATATGTATTTTGAAATTAAAATTAAACATGCCGCACCTTATAAGAGTAATAATCAATATCGGGTACCTATACCTAATTCCGAAACACTTGACTAGACTCTACATTTAGGTACTTTAGGTGAAGGGAAATCGAATTATTCTATTATTAGCAAATATGATAAAATAAATATATTGAATTTACGGTATTTGACAGTTTGTTAATGCAACAATAAAAAAATCTAACTCGTATCGTAGTAAAAAATTTTTTCAAACTTCAAGACGCTGCATTTTTCTTAAAAGCATGCGTTCCTAAGAAGTAAATGCAATAAATAAAAAACGTCGACAGCCCTAATAATCCAGTGACCAGTTACGTGATTTGTTTTGAAGAACCTATGTTACTGTCTCGACTTTAACTTTACATAACACCTACATCTATTACCGGTAGAAGTAGGCTATGACTGTGAGGTCAGTGTTTAACCTACATTCGTAAATGTTAATAAACTTTAAACGTAATTTTAGTGATCATCCTTAACATTCGTTCGTTCGTTTCAGCCAAATGACGTCCACTATTGGACAAAGGCCTCCTCAAGGATTTCCACAATGAACGGTTCTGCGCTGCCCGCATAAAAGTTTGTGGGCAAACGGAGATTAATTAAGATCCATGCCAATAGCTTAAAAAGTATTTGTCCTGTTAAGTTAAGTTTTTGTCCTGAAGCAGTGGTAGGGTTAATACTGGGACGTGTAAAAGTGCTTTTTTTAAGCCTATTTACAGAAATAAATGAGTTTTTAGTACAAAATTATATGTGAAGGTATATGAGCACCGGAATAGATACATACCAATAAATACTCGAATAAAACATTATATTTTAGGTAGCTAAATAGTTACCTAGTTTTCTACATGTTTTCCAGTTTCAGATTTACAACTTCTTTAAATAAAGTTATTTTATTTCTTTCTTTTCTTTCTTTAATTATTATTTATATTATATAGTTGCAATTACTCTTTTTCTAGGGGAGCAGATGTACGAAGAAATCCCTGTTTACTTTCGCAGAATAGGTATTCCTTTAGGTAAAACTTGTAGACCAACAAAAAGTAGTTATCTAATGGTAGAGTGTACTTATTGTAGAGTTACCTCTTGTTAATTGAGAGATAGTTAATCAGACCTGACTAGTGAAATAACGGTTATAATTAACGCTATATTATTTAACCAGGGATTGCGACATTTCATCAACAAATATAACAATACACTACAGTTTATTAAGTAAGTACACCTAACAACACAATAGGTACTGTGCTGTAATAATATATTACCCATTGATCGATTGCCCTTAATATGGTCAAATCGGTGAATAACATAGCCTTAATTATAAAATTCGTTTTAGTATTTGGTTGTTAGACAGTAGGTAATCAGGTATTGCCAACACCAAAACAAGTAGGTAAGAGTAAGTAAGCTGTAGTTAATTATGTAATTTATGTCGTTCATATTGTGGTAGACCGAAGAGCACCAATTATTCGAAAGGAGGAAGCGTGTCAATGACTCATCGATGCGCTTCCTCGTTTCTCAGCACTCTCCAAATATAGGCAGGTGTGACGCAACTTGACTGACTGAACACTTTTTGAGACAGGACGAAATAAACTGAGCGGGGTGCACGCCGGAGTGGTCATTCTGACACCGCTGGGGGACGCCGCGCCCAGCGAGGCGCATGAGGCTGCCAGCGAGCCCGCGGCACACACGCCCCTCGACCCTCCCCCCTCCATCCTCCACACAGTCTACAGCGCAATCAAAAATGCCTTCTCATCAGCCGCACCAGATTACGCAGAAGAACCAATCCTCACCCACCAGCCTCCACCCCCACCACAACCAATACCACCCTTCAAACCCATGACATGGGACGCCGTCAACTCCTACGGCGAACCTGCCATGACTGACGCCTATCCAGACTACGACCCCCGCCATCCACACCCTCAATTCAACTACGCTTCAGCCAAGCAATCTGTCGTCCCCCATATACACAAACACCACACAGGGTTGACCCCTGATAAGATCCAAAAAATAAACCACAACTTGAAAAAACTGGCCGCATACATGAATCAAAACCAAAGGTCTTCAGAGGTCTTTCCTCCTACTTTTGTGGGCCTGGGGAAATATCAGGAGATGCTAAAAAAAGGCCAGATTCCACTTTTCCCTACTCCCGTAGTCAGTGACAATGAAATAGGGGTCCTTCCCGCCGAATTCCTCCCCGATCCCGATCCCATCTCGACTGTAACGACCAAAGGCACTACGACCACTTCAACTACTACAGAAAAACCAAAGACAACAATAACCACACAAGGAACCACTACGCCAAAGCCCGAAGGCGAGAACAGAAGAAAAGACGTGAAGTACATACTCCGAGGGAACAAGATTGTCCAAGTTTGAAAAAGACTGACTATGACTGACTGAGAGGTATGTGGTGATGACCAGGTGACTGAGTCCTTCGTTCTGGTGAATCACCAATATTAACTTGGATTTCCCTTTAACTTGACAAAACGACTACCACGACACTAACAGACTATCCTATCTGCATGTACATTTTGTTTTCTATTTCCAGATGTAGTTAAATGTAGAAATGTATAATGTAGATACTGACAATATCTTTGAAATTAACAAAATTAGACTTAGCTAAAAGGTGCTTACAAAAATCGTTGAAATCATAGAAATGAAGACAGTCTGATACCACAAAAAATGATATAGATAAAGTAAAACCAAATATTTTTAACTCTACTTTTTTTAAGACGTTCATAAGTTTGTAGGCACCTTAACCTGTAATATTTAGATGTTCTATCGCTTTCATTAACTAACACCATATCCAAATAAACTAGATTTTAGAAAGTAGACAGATCAATAAAACAAAATGTAGTGTCTAACTCTATTAGCCTTAATGTTTGCCAGTGAAATTGATTTCTAATTCAATATTTTTATTACAGAGATTCCTCTGCAAGGAGCAGTGTTGGGGGCAGAAGAGTTGCAGCACTACTACGGATAGACATCAAGACAGTAGATTCTTTATCAAATAATACTCGGTGATATTTAATTTAGAATTGTAGATAGACCGTGTAGTGTGACTTCTGTCTAAACACTAGTACTACGTCTTAAACTAAACTATGTTATTTGCACATTGTACATTATTTTTATTTTTATACGTGCGAACCAAAAACCATTTAATTTTATGTAATTTTTAAATTGTACTATAGGTGTTTCGAAGTTACCCAGTGGATGAAAGTTCTTGTTATTTTCAATATTTATATTTGTGTTTTTTTTTTAAACAAAGCCACGACATTATTTGTTGGTAGTATTAATAGAATATTAAAACAAACTGTTATGTAATATATTGACCTAAGTCTAACCAACATTTCATTTCACAAATTAATTGTAAATTATATTTAGATTTTCTTCTTCTAGTTGTAAATATTTCTTAATCTATTTATGCCTTGAAATTGTAAAATATTGTTTCTTTACTTTGTACATAAATTATGAGGGATGTGATGTAGAAATTAAAAGATAAAGGGATGAGTTTGCATTTTATTTTTTCAAAAAGACGATTCAAAAACGCAAGCTAAAAATAATCTGTTTTCGATTTGGTTAACAATCCATTGTTGATTGATAGTATACATAGAGAACTTATTTTCCAAATGATATTAATTTATTTAATTCATATTTGTTTCATCTCAACATTATAGTAGGTACCACAGATTACTAATCTATATAAATAAAAATGAATTGATGTTCGTTAGTCTGATTAAAACTCGAGAACGGCTGGGCCGATTGAGCTGATTTTGGTGTTAAAATGTTTGTCGTAGTCCAGGGTAGGTCTAAACGGTGAGCAAATAAGGAAAGATTTGCTTATTTATTGCCTTTAAGGCGGAACAGAGTTCGCCGGGTCAGCTAGTTAATTTAATAAGTTACTAAGTATTAAATTAAACAAAGCCAGCCAGCGTGGGGAGTGTAGACCAAATCCTCCATTTGCCTCTGGTAAATTAGAGGGGGTCGTGCTCCTGCAGTGGAGACTAAATGACCTGATGATGATGATGAAATTAAACAAAAAAATATTTTAAAGCTGGAATCAGAAAAAAGTTGTTTGTAAGTTTTCGGTTTACTGAGGCAAGTTAAGAGGGAAAGGTGGTATTTCTACAGACAGGCCGTTACGCCGCCGCCAAGCGCCTAAGTGAATGTAAACGGCGTAAATGTTGGTGCAAAAATTTGCAGTGGAAATTACCGTAGGATACAATTTATCGTATAATGCGACGAAGGGACCAATATGTGATACATCAGGCAACTCCAGCCCGTTTGGTCAACGTGTAGAGTTTTGGCCAAAGCGTTCATTTGTCTCTGGTATATAAGAGATACTCATGTGTAGATCGACTATGCCGTGGTGGTAAATGAGAAAAGCCTTTGGCTGAATGTCAGATTTGTATTTGGTACATAAGTAAATAAGTGATCGTGGAACGCAGCGGGAGATGACTGACTCATCTTCATAGCGTCCCGAAAAATCACGACGCAAAACGTGAAAATACGGCGCCGCAGGGATAGGTATTGGGGAGCAGGTCAAGTTTATAGTAGAGTTCGATCTTAAGATTTCTTCAATATTAAAATCGAAGATTGATTGTAAAAATCGGGCGTTAGCCCCTACATTACATAGGTACCCCGGTAAAGGACGTAAGTAAAACGAGTTTTCTTTTGTACAATTAAAAAACAGAGAAATGGTAGCCAACGACTATAATATTTCTGGTCAATAGACAAAATTTAAAATCTCTCTAGAAATAATCAGATTAATTCCACTTCAAGGAAACTCAACGCCTAATACAAGTTATCCCCAGTAGATATATTATAGGCAAGTAGTAGTTAGTTCACAATAGTGATACATTGCTAAAAGAGCGGATAAGGCGTTATTGACAAACGTTATGGTAAAAATACGGGCATAAAACATTAAATGATTTTTATGTTGATCACAATCTCTACTGAATAATGCTAATTGCTTTAGTTAATGCAGCGAAAACTAATAAAAATTATTTGTATAACATATTTTAGCATGTATTACAAATACATCTTGATAGTAGGTAAAGCAAGTCTCCCTTTTAAAATAGCTAAACTATCATTTAACTTTCAAAACTTTAAAGCACAGATAATATAATACTTAAAGTTAATAAGATAGATTAAAATAGACCACAAAATAAGTACTTAGACCTAAAATACATATAACGTTCCTCAACGTTCCCTACGTCATAGTAATAATATAAACATTTTATTATTCAGATAAAATCAGTCTGTATAAAGCTGCTAGTTGGTTATAACATAGGTAATATCCGTTTGGAATTATAACCTTATGTAAACCAAGTCTCACTAGCAAGCAAAGCCATATCTCTGTGTAATCATGTAAATAATAGAGTAAAGCCTTTTCACTGGCACCGGAAAACAGCACTTTTACTGGTTTTCATAGCACAGATGCCAAGTAGAAGTACATTTCTCAGTAAGCGTAATACAGGAGAATACAGTGGGTTTGCATTGCGTGGTGTGGGATAAGCCTATACCACTTAGGTAGAGTCAGTCAGAGCTAAAAAGTATGTATCCCACTAAGGCTCGGCGCAAATGGGCCAGCTTAGTGGGATACACATACTTTTTAGCTCAGAACTAAAAGCTGTAAAAGCACCGGTAGCTGTCGCGCGCTACCGTCACATTTCTAAGAGTGTCAGAAGCGAGCGACAGCCACCGCCGCCACTGCTGTCTGGAAGCCACCACATATTCACGAAACGGAATAAGCTGAGGCAGAAGAAGAATAATGCAGCCAAGAAAAGACCATAAACGCCACCCAGGCATTGTAAAAAAGTTATTAGATCTCATGTAGAACCAAGCTTGGTCTAACTTCATGCTCTCTACCTTAAGGCAAAATATGTGGCTTGGCCGTTTCGTTACTACAATAACTATTTATTAATTGTACTTAAAACAGAAAAGTAATGAACTAGTTTTTCACCTTCCACCCATGGTGGGACCAGCCAAGTTCTTTGGTATGGTAGAAGTCACTTCTATTTGTTACTTGCCTTAACAAATAGTTTTCTGTGAGCTTACTGTTCTCGTTTGTATCGTGTGTGTATGTAAGGCATCTAAAATGTTGGATACGAGAAGTGTCTTTCCTTGAAAAAGTTCTGATACAAATTGAAGGGAATTTGCGGCATCGGAGTAAACATTGTACCGCTTATCGATATCAATTAAGTGTACTTAAGCGTAATATAGGGTAATTGTATTTCTTCGTAGTACAAACGATGGGACATCAAGGTATACGTTGTGGCTAGTGTGATTTTAGAACTAAAATATAAGACCGTAGCTGCGTAGGAAGATGCTTTGCAACATTTAGGTCACTTGTAAGTAGATTTTAGGGCATTAAGTAATTTTGAAAACTGTTAAGTACTCGTAACTCGTACCTACCAAACTAGGGGGTATGATACGCTTTAGTTCTTTATTTGTACTCTCAATTAATTTTGCACGAAACACTCGCCATGTTTTATGCACATTAGCATCCTTGCAAAACTACTTTTAAAACGTAGATACCCCGATATTTTTAGCTGAGGATCTCTCATACAAATTAGTCGCAAGTTAGATAAATGCAAACGTTGTGTTAACAGGTAACTAAAGATATAGTTACATCGTCCTTATCTTTTTCAATTAAATAAAATCCTAAGTGTTTTCTTTTCTTACTTCATCACCACTTCCAAAACCGCCATCTAAACAAAAATCCGCCTGCTCTTTCATACAACCAAGTAATTACGGAAACGGAAGCCAGACCATAGACAAAAACCATAGTTTTACATAAGGCATAATCTATGGTGCCATTAGCGAGCAGGAAGGCTAGTACTCGCTTTCCACTGATTGAAGCCTATAGAACTACAATTAGTGAGGTGGCTGACCAGGTTCTAGGATATCATGACGTGTATAATCATTTATTCATAGTTATTAACGACATTCTGGATAGAATAGATAACATACTAGTCGATATCCTATAAGGAATTGCTATTACGTTAGGTTATATAAAGAAAACGGGGAACGGATGTATCCGTTTAAATGTATAAATGGTTTGTTGTAACAAACCATTTATGCTTTTTAAAATAAATGATTTCAATTTAAAAAAAATGTAGGTACCTAATCCAAACTTGACAATGCAGGAATTGAAATGTTTTCCAATTACGAGTTGCTCAATTTAGTGAAAATGCACATTGTAACTACAAATTGAAAATTAATTAAAGGTTGTAGCGTTTTTCACGGAAGAAAGTTAGGTGAAAGCTTTAAAACATTGAAAGAAATAAAAAAGTTGTATTTCGCTCTTTCAGATTACTATTTTGTTGCAATTTCTTACAAAACTTTGCGCGCAAAAAGCAAATCTAGTATGAAAATCATCAAACTTCTAATGCTCGTAACTCAGTTCAGACTGAGTTTAGAGGTATACATGTCATAGTAAGTTTGGTTTATTACACTATTTTGTAATCAAAAAATAAAGTTTGGTCGATGGCCGCGCGAAAAAAAAAAGACGCCAATTTCCGGCATTGTCTTTTTATCTGTATTACGTATAAACTTTAAATCATGTTTTATTTAAAAAGTATATTAGATAAATATAAAATGTATTTTTTGCAATTTGACAGTTCACGTCAGTCTGTTTCAAATTATTCAGAAGATCCTCCTAAACAATTGAATTAAGAATATTCAATGTTACCAAACCGATAAATAAAATGAGTAGGTAATCAATGTTAACTGTCGTAATTAATTTAGTAAGCTAATTTATAAAACGATAATTTGACACAAGTAATTGCAGCACATAAATAAATAATAATTTAAAAAGCCTAGGCATGTCACGTCATGCACATAAGTTCGTAACTTAAGTCAAGTCAACAAAGTGAAGTGACTCTATGTCCACCTGTCTAAGCTAAGTGGCAGTGCATTATGAAGCAAGAAAGAGGGGATCATATAAAGCGGCGCGATGACCTATTTCATTTCTCACTAGCTCGCCAGTGGCCCGCATACATGCTGACGGTTTGAAAAAAAAAAACTTTCCCGCCAAACAGTTGACGTTTATATTTTTTCTAAATCCAAATACAGGCAAAGAAATCTTGGACAGAAATGACTGTGTGTTCAAGCACGTGATCGGTTGTGCTTTTGTGTTGTTTATTGTGGCCAGTGTTTTGAGGACTGTGTTCCAGAACTGCAAGATGATAAAGGTTGGTTGGTTGTTCTTTTCTCTTTTTAAAAAGTTAAGGGTTCTTTCTGTTTAAAAATAACTAAAATTAATAAAAACAAATGACAGTGATACAACTTGCATTTGAAAAAGGTACTTTATTTTACTATTATTACTATACCAATCGAGCGATTTTTAACATTCTAGTCATAATTCGTAATTAAAACAAATAAGTACACAATAGCAATGGCGTGAAACTTCATAGTATTCTTAGTATGTACTAGACTAGTTCAACTGTATTTAAGTAAGTATTAATCAATATTTTATTGATAAAGAATAGATAGGTATTAAAAGGGCAATCTAAGATGTCTAAACCTCATATTTCTCATAAACTCATCCAGTATCAATCAACTCGTCGAGATAATCAAGATTTCTAATTAAACTTGTAAAACAAGCGACGGGTTGGTTTATAAGATCTCAAAGCTGTATTAGAGAAATCCAATTAGCATTTGCAGCTATGCATTCATTAACGGCCTCCCAAGGACGGGCATCGGCCTTCAAGATTGTGCAACATTTCTTAGAGCATATAACATGGACTTGATTTTAAGATACTCGTAGGTACACTTTGATAGGTATTGGTTTGTGGAAAGTATTATCTGGAAATGAATGGAATTACTTAACCACACACATTTTTCATAGACTAAAATGACTTGAATTGATTGATGAAATGAGGAGTGGGGATCGAAATTGTTTTTATTGATAGCAAAAAAAAATATCTGCGCAAAATGAATAAAATCTAGACTTTATTTATTGACACTTAGGTCCCATAAAGTGAGAATCAATTGAAGACTGAAATAGTGCATAAGTGTGCATTTAAGTGCACAGTCAAGTACAGGGTTAAAAGCTTCGTCAGACAGCGGGCATTGACGCGTCGCGTCGTGTCAATTTCTATGCGTGCGAATCGTCACACAGTTTAGTACCTAATTATACTTAATCAGTTAATTAACAGCTAATTAGCTGTTAGATTTATGCGCCATGATCATAAATGGTTTCAGGGTTCCGTACCTCAAAAGGAAAAATGAAACCCTTCTAAAATTACTTTTAAGGTTTAGTAGGCACATCAAAAGGAAAAACCGAACCCCTTATTTTGTTGTCTTTCTGTAGAATATTCATAATAATTGACCCACGATATTTGTCTTATGAGGTGGTTCCACTGCACTGTCATTTACGCCCGTATTCACAAACATTACTATGAGGTCTCACAGTGCGCGTGGATGCACAGGGTGACACACGAACCAATCACAGAGCTCTATTCAACGCTGTGCGTTAGATTTGCTGCTTCACTTAAGCAAGCATCGTTTGTGAATACGGGCGTAAATTAAGTAGGTGTTATCATTGTTAATCGTATCAAAAGTAAAGTGCCTACCTCGACGCACCGTTTAAAAATGCAAACCTATAACTGCAGTGATTACGTCATTAAAGAAACTAAGCCACTTATGTCTTAGTATCTCGTGCTTGTAATATCGCGGGCAATAACTTTCTGTTTTCACTGAACATTATTTTCGTACAACATAATATTGTCGCGTTTACGTGACATGGTCAGTAAATGCAGTATGACTTGCCGTCCACAGTTTGCGTTGCACACGAAAACGACATAAACTAGCTTTCAAGGAAATTAAATGGATTAAAGGCGATGACAGAAACAATAATAGTGATTTAATCATTGTAAATTGAACTGATGCAATCATAGAAATAAACTGAAAAACTAGTGCCCACGTGAATTTCAGAGGAAAGGATGTTCTTTTCGGTTAATAAAGCCTCCCATTCTTTTATTGAAAAAACATGAGTTCCGAATTTCCCATTTAAACTCACTTTAGCTGCAAACACATTATGTCCGTTTCACTAGTTACATAATAATATGTATTTGCTAAAATTCAGCAAAGTTTTAGCGTTTATTATGACGAAAAAAACCAGCAATAGATACCGAACTTAAATAATACAGAATAATTTAAGTAATTGTATCTTGATAGTTTGTATTGAAACCAAATAATAACTTAACTAAGGGTAGTAAAAATAAATTATTATCATCATAAATAAATTTGTATCAATTAAAATAATTCATCTACAACAAAATGGCCAATATTTTTCGCGCGCATTTTTCACTGCCCCATGCAAGAGAGATCCGCCCGGACCGGTCGACCCGCGTTTCACATTGAGAACAGCTCAGCGCAGTGTCATCTGTTATTTATTACATTTGAGTAAACATAGTTGATGGAACAAACAAAGTTTGACCAAGAGAGGAGATAAAATAATCTATACAGTGTGTCCGGGCATGTAGTGATCAAACTTTAAGGGCGTAATCTATGGACAATTTTATCGATGAAAATACTTCAAATTTGGGGCTTGACCCATTTCTCGAAAAATTACATCGATTTAAGTTTTTAATTTTTAGTTTACACCTCTTCTTTAAAAAAACAAGTGAAAGCGTGGGTAGCTTAACATTAATAGGCAAATATTTTATATCATGCGATAGCCAGTAAAATTATCTATTAGTAGAAGAAGAAACCAGACACAAGTTTCATACATTTTATGGGAGTAAGAATGGATTTAATTAGAAAAATACGTTACTTTTTTCACTTCTTTTTCAGTTATTTTCCAACACAAGAAAAACCAGGTCGTTAAGGTATGTTTTATTTGCATTGTATTATTAGTATTTGAGCTATTCTACAAAACGAATGTAAATTTATTAGTCTACGTAAGTAACAACCACCACTGTGGTCTAGTGGTAAGGCCACCTATTTAGGACAGCCAATTCCTCTGTGGTTTAGGATTCCGAGTGAAGCTCGCTGATCATCCATCAGTTTTCATCAGGTCAGATGAAGGGCAAGAGATTCCTCGTTGTGGATAAAAAAATGTTCTGTTCAGTTATTGTCTTTAAATGTGTTCTAAGTAACGTAAACTTAGAGAATTTCAATCATTAGTTAGTCCTAAGAAAGTCAAAACATGTAACGGAATCTCTGACTTACCACATTAGTGGAGCGATTACAGAAAATAATGGCCTATTAAGTACATGTTTTTTTGTGTTAATATGAAAGTTCAGAAAACTGCGCAGTTTTTAAAATTATTTTGGACCTATGGAATTTCTTCTTTTTTTTTTAACTTTTAAGTTGAAAATTTTAGAATGTTCCGCTAAAAGCATATTTTTTATGTTTCTAGCAAAAATTTTGTATCTTGCGTCAAAGATAGGAAGTTGATTATTTTTTTCAAAAATCTGCAATCAATAGGGAATCTGTCAAAAAAAAGAAATCTGAGAAAAGTCGACCCAAAAAAAAGATAAAAAAAATTAAAGCCTACTAGGTCATACAATTTGAAAAAATCACAAAATTAACGATAACTTCTAAACTATGAAAAATCGTAAAACATACATGGGGGTGAAATCGATAGGTCTAGTCCTCACCTATCACCTGCCTTCGGCTTGACACCTTACAAGAAACACCCTGTATAAAAGAAAGTCGTGTTAGTTACTTCGCTTATAACTCAAGAACGGCTGAACCGATTTAGCTGAAAATTGTTAGGGAGGTAGTTTAGAGCCAGGAGAAGGACATAGGATACTTTTTATCCCGTTCGAAATTAAAAAAAAAGTCTGCTTATTTATTGCCATTAAGGCGGAACAAAGTTCGCCGGGTCAGCTAGTAATCCATAAATCTGAAAACAACTCTACATTTCCACGTTTATAGCCACTGAAACAGATTTAATTAATTTGGTTAGTCTAGGTATTTTTCAACCTTTTTCATGACACGACACCCCTAGTATGAAAAAATATATTGCGACCCCCCGACCGCTCGCTTTTTTTATGCATTTTATAATGTTACAAAGATGTTGTAGGAACCGAATATTTCAATCCATGCAACATTTTATGCATTTGCATAATTAGATTGCGGATAAATCTATTTTTATAACTTTACTGTTTTTTTACGACCAATCGCGTTTTGGTAGTTTATTACGACCAATGGCGACCCCATAGACCCCCTGAGGTTGAAAAACACTGGTCTAAACAAAAGACATTTAAGTTAAATTACTTAACTGTCGTTGCAAAAAAAAAAATTAACGGGGGTGAAATAGGGCCTGTATTGCATAAGCAACAAATAATTCCAGGTGTAGGTGATATGAAAACTTTTTAAGGTTTTGTTTTCAGAAATACATATTTATGCAAGTACCTAAGATTTGAAAGATATAATATAATTAGGTAGAGTTCAATTCAATTAGTTATAACATCATTGTGCATTGATTGCTTTGTTTGGCATACAAACTTTCATTAAAAATAACGCGATCACACGCGATCAGCCGGCGTGCAGCGATGGCGACCAGACTTAAATGCATTGATCGCCATCGCTGCACGCCGGCTGATTGCGTGTGATCGCGTTGGTTTGACCGAACCTTTACTGGCTAACTGTTTGGCCATTATAACACACTGTTTAGTGGCATGCATCCATTTTCTCGGCAGCAATTAGACTGAGGAGCACCGTTAGTGTTCTGTTTTATTTACGCGCGTTTTGTAGTCACAGTAAAAAATAAGAAGCGTTTACGAAGTAACTTTATTTACCATTGAATTTCTGTTATGTATACAAATAATGTAAATAAATAAATATCTTTGGACAATCTCACACAGTGCCATCTAGCCCCAAAGTAAGCAATTAATATGCTTGTGTTATGGGTGCTAGCTTAACGGATATACTACTTATATACTTTTTTTAAATACATACATATTATACATAGTAACACCCAGACCCGTCACAGAAATTAAAATTCATCATTTCAATTTCTGCCCGGCCGGGAATCGAACCCGGGACCTCTCGGCATAGTAGTCCATTCTGAACCACTACACCAAACGGCCGACAAAATATAAAGTAAGACATTTTTCGGAAAAAAATACTAGATGCGGTCTCTATAAGTAGTAAAATGATTATTGTCCGTATTTATATGATAGACAATAGTTGCCGTGATCATTTGTCATCCGCGCTGAAGGGACGTCGATCCTATCTT